CGTATACTTTTACGTTTATTTGTAAATATTTCTAACTCCTGACTAAATGGACCTTGTAAGTACCTCACGGTAGCTATAACCTGTTATGTATGTACTTTTATTATTTTTTACTTTAGTTTTATTTGGTAAATATTTTCTTAACTCTTTCTTGAACTAAATTGTTTGTTAAGGGCTTGTAAGTAAGCATTTCACGGTAAGGTCTACTACACCTGTTGTATTCGGCGCATGTGACAAATAAAGTTTGATTTGATTTGTCAGCCGCTGATACCACTCTTGTGAAATAAATGTGTTCATTAATGTGTTCAATTTACATTAAGTGTAGCTAAAACCATGCATTTACATGGTAATGATTGGAACAGAATTTGCATACACTCTTAGAAAAAAGAGTTTGAAAGGGTTCTTGCCCTTTCCTCATAGGAGAACCCTTTTTGGTTCCAGTTACAACTATTTTCGTCTCTATGTAGAACCCTTTGTGGAAAGGGTTCCTAATGTTCCTGGTCAATTTCACAAATGTTTTTATTTGAAATCATTAAAATACTACGAGAAAAAAAAGTAATCACCATGCCCGTTCATCTAGCCGAATTGAACATAAAGGAAGGGCTGGAGGAGATAGTTGTTAGCTTCCACTACTTGTCTAGAGGAGATAGTTGTTAGCTTCCACTACTTGTCTAGAGGAGATCGTTGTTAGCTTCCACTACTTGTCTAGAGGAGATAGTTGTTAGCTTCCACTACTTGTCTAGAGGAGATAGTTGTTAGCTTCCACTACTTGTCTAGAGGAGATAGTTGTCAGCTTCCACTACCTGTCTAGAGGAGATAGTTGTTAGCTTCCACTACTTGTCTAGAGGAGATAGTTGTTAGCTTCCACTACTTGTCTAGAGGAGATCGTTGTTAGCTTCCACTACTTGTCTAGAGGAGATCGTTGTTAGCTTCCACTACTTGTCTAGAGGAGATAGTTGTTAGCTTCCAGTACTTGTGTAGAGGAGATAGTTGTTAGCTTCCACTACTTGTCTAGAGGAGATCGTTGTTAGCTTGTCTAGAGGAGATAGTTGTTAGCTTCCACTACTTGTCTAGATGAGATAGTTGTTAGCTTCCACTACTTGTCTAGAGGAGATAGTTGTTAGCTTCCACTTGTTAGAGGAGATAGTGTTAGCTTCCACTGCTTGTCTAGAGGAGATAGTTGTTAGCTTCCACTACTTGTCTAGAGGAGATAGTTGTCAGCTTCCTCTGCTTGTCTAGAGGAGATAGTTGTTAGCTTCCACTGCTTGTCTAGAGGAGATAGTTGTTAGCTTCCACTACTTGTCTAGAGGAGATAGTTGTTAGCTTCCACTACTTGTCTAGAGGAGATAGTTGTTAGCTTCCACTACTTGTCTAGAGGAGATCGTTGTTAGCTTCCACCACTTGTCTAGAGGAGATAGTTGTTAGCTTCCACTACTTGTCTAGAGGAGATCGTTGTTAGCTTCCACTACTTGTCTAGAGAAGATAGTTGTTAGCTTCCACTACTTGTCTAGAGGAGATAGTTGTTAGCTTCCACTACTTGTCTAGAGGAGATAGTTGTTCGCTTCCACTACTTGTCTAGAGGAGATTGTTGTTAGCTTCCACTACCTGTCCAGAGGAGATCGTTGTTAGCTTCCACTACTTGTCTAGAGGAGATAGTTGTTAGCTTCCACTACTTGTCTAGAGGAGATAGTTGTTAGCTTTCACTGCTTGTCTAGAGGAGATAGTTGTTAGATTCCACTACTTGTCTAGAGGAGATCGTTGTTAGCTTGTCTAGAGGAGATAGTTGTTAGCTTCCACTACTTGTCTAGATGAGATAGTTGTTAGCTTCCACTACTTGTCTAGAGGAGATAGTTGTTAGCTTCCACTACTTGTCTAGAGGAGATAGTTGTTAGCTTCCACTGCTTGTCTAGAGGAGATAGTTGTTA